CAAATTAAAAAATTTCATTCAGGGATTGCAAATTAAAAACAAACTAGAAAAATTTAGAGAATGATGAAAGTAATTTCCAAGATGAAAACCATCATATCTCTGCTAAACTCTTTTTACTAACACCAAAATGAGATTCTGTTTGTCTTTGTGAGTGTTTCTGTGGTGTGTGTATGTGTGTGTGTGTGCCTATTGTATAGGAGACTGTCTTGTGTCCATGTATTTGTGTCTCTACATGCATGTCTGTCAGAGTTTGTGTATCTGTAGTATCTTGGGTATAGAATACAGGAAGTGGGATTGTAGTGGTATAAAAGGAAGAAAGAAAGTCATTTTTATCGGAATCCATCTTCCACTGGATAAGAAAAGAGAAGTGTATTTTTATGACCAAAAATAAATCCTGTATAATAGGTAAAATAATAGAATAGTTATATGTCTATAGGTTTTTAATTTTTTATAAAACTTTATTTTATTACAAAAGCAATGTATGTTCATTATTTTATAAGTTTTAAATAAACAAACCCAACCACACATTGGTAACCACTTGACATATATCCTTTCAGATGTTTTTATGTATACATATATATATTTGAAAAATGGAATTATACTAAATAAACAATATTTTAAACAATATGACATGAAGTCTATAAATAGCTTTTACTTTTTTTTTTTTTTTTGGAGACAGAATATCACTCTGTTGCCCGGGCTAGAGTGCCTTGGCATCAACCTAGCTCACAGCAACCTCAAACTCTTGGGCTCAAGCAATCCTCCTGCCTCAGCCTCCCGAGTAGTGGGGACTACAGGCATGTGCCACCATGCCCAATTAATTTTTTTCCTATATATTTTTATTTGGCCAATTAATTTGTTTCTATTTTTAGTAGGGACAGGGTCTCTCTCTTGTTCAGGCTGGTTTCAAACTCCTGACCTTGAGCAATCCGCCCACCTTGGCCTCCCAGAGTGCTAGGATTACAGGCGTGAGCCACTGCACCTGGCCTAGTTTTTCCTTCTATCCATAACACATAGCACAGAGCCAGGTACATGGTATATATTCAGAATGTATCTGTTAAATTAATAGAGGAATTCTCCATGATTGCCTGTATATATTCTTTGCCATTTTTCCTCGTTTAACATCTTTGTGTATTTATGAATTTCATATGAAGTCAGTATTTTAGCCCTTTGTTAAATATGTTACAAATGCTGTTTTCTCCTATTTATACCAAATTTTAACTTTCCTTTACCAAAATAACAAAAATTAATATCCAAACACATAGTTTGATTTAATCATATGAAAAACCATCATATGTAATACAAATGATGCTTTATAGTAAATTCCAAAGAAATAAAGTAAATACAGTATGTAAGGAATAAAGCGCTGAATGCTCCTCAGTAGAGGTTCTGCTCTGTTTAAATAGATGCAGGAGCCAGGTGTAGTGGCTTGCACCTATAATCCCAGCTACTCAGGAGGCTGAGGTGGGAGGATCTCTTGAGGCCAGGAGTTTGAGATCAGCCTGGGCAACACAGTGAGACCCTGTCTCAAAAAAAAAAAAATTACATTTTAAATAGAATATGTCTAAGAACAGTAAGTTCTTGAGTCAGACAGACTTGGTTCCTATCTCATTTCTGCCCCTCAGCAGCTGAGTGATAGAGGAAAGTCACTTAATGCCTTTGAGTGTCTGTAATTGGGGATACTCAGACCCCCTCCCAGAGTTTGTGCCTTCTAGTGCTCAGCAAATGGTCTCTATGTGGCATTGTATCCTTTGATGGGTATTTCTCAATTCGATGCTTATTCTTAAATATGAGAAAAAAACTAGTTCTAGAGCCCAGAGTTGGCTGAGTTTCTCTACCAAAAATTTGATGATAACCTGAAATATAGATTTAGATATAGATACATCTGTTTTGGTTTTGGCATAATTATTTTTTTTTTTAGAAAACATAGATTTTTGTCAGGTTTTACACCTCTTAGAAAGATATTTTTTCCCTACCAACTTTATTGTTTAAAAGCAAGTACTATGTGTTCTTAAGTTTCTTCTTGAGAGAATCTTGGTATTATGAAACAGAGTTACTAGTACAGTTTAAAATGGAAAAAGCTACCGAACAATCCTCTAAGGATTTAAATATACTCCATTAACTTTAGTTTAGTAAAAGTAACGTCATGAAGTTCTTTAGTCCACTGCTGCTATTGCTGTTTTTTTTCCCTAAAGCATTACTGAATTGGGGATCTAGTTTTGCTATTGCTGTGTATTGCCATCAAAACGTAAAACATAGGAAGTCTGTCAAGCTTTCTAATGTAACTATTGTACAAAGTCTACATCTCATGGCAACTTTTACAAAGGGCTGTTTTCTCAGCCTGCAAATATTTACTCTGATGCTGATCTAACTTACAGGGATCTTCTAACATTTTGTCCACACACACGTTTTTACTATTTTCATGAAATTAACTATAGACTATTAACTATTAATAAACTGAGTTTATTAATAATTTTCTTGGCAACTGACCTAATATTATTCTTTTCCTAAACAGAGGATACTTCCTTGTTGTCTAGCCCAGATCAGAGTATCCCAAACTTTTATTGAATAGAAATGAAGCTCAGTGCTAATATTCTGTATGCGGCCAGAAGAGAAATAATTCACGATGTTTTAGCTAAAATATTCTTCAAAATAATGGGATAAAAATGTTTTTATTCCAAAAATAGAAGTTATTTTTGTTAGAACAACCATTAATTAGTTTATTCTTCCATTACCTAAGGCATGCAAGCCCTTTTGAGGAAGCAGCCACCTATGCAAGCTATGTTAAATCTTCTAAGCTAGTAGGGCGTTTACAATATGACAGTGTGATTGTGCACCACTGATAAGGTAAGAGACAGACCTTGACTCAAAAGAATTAATGCAGTTGCCTGTAAAGCAGGTTCCTGCTTTACATCAAGAGATCAAGAGACCTAGGAATTAGAATTCTAGAATTGTAAAATTTCAGGATTATAAAGGACTTTAGAAATAATAACTCACATTTTACAGATAAAGAACTTTGGAAACAGTGAACGACTGGCTAAAGGTCTCAGAAGAATCTGGCCCAATATATTCAAAAGTGTAAAATGTATACAAGTTCCTTGTTTATTAAATATTTTAAACATCTTTGGCTTTTGCTATATTTGGCTATTTGAACATTAGAGACTATCAGTAAACTACAAAATTATTTTTAAAAAACCCTGGAATGTGGATTCTTCACATAATATAATGAAATAGAGTGAGGAAAAGGAAAATATTTGCTGAAAGGTTATATGAATCTATATAGGCAGTAATATGGCCTAGAACCACACACACGCATATACACAAATGAGTGCATATAAAACTGGTGAAATCTGAATAAAGTCAGTGGATTATACCAATGTCAAGTTCCTGGTTTGGGTATTATACTATAATTATAAAAGATATAATTATTGTGGGAAAGTGGGTGAAGAGATGGGACCTCTCTATTATTTTTACAACTTCCTGTGTATCTACAATTATTCTAAAATGAAAAGTTTAAAAAAATATAGATAGCTACAATGAAACTCCTTTATTGTCCTAAGTAAATATTTATAAACTATAGGTGCTTAGGATTTAATATAAAAATAATTATAACATGAGATCCTGGTTTAGTTTTTACCCCTTTGACCATTTCTTATGGTTCCCTAAATGTTAACATTCCCAGAAGTTTTCTCTTCTTGACCCTCTTCTTTAAAAACTGATTGATATTCATGGATTCAGGGACCAGATCTAGGCTGAAGGCCCCAAATCTTTCTGTCTGGCCCTGATGTCCCATTCAAACTTTAACTCTACTAGATTATTATCACTAAAGCATGGTGTCTGACACCAAGTAAGCTCTCCAGAAACATTAGATGAATGAATGAATGAATGAATGAATGAATGAACAAATACATCAATAAATAAATGACTTTTCAAATATCTATATTTGCACTTGCAAGTTTTACAGTCACCTAAATTCAAAATATAGCAAAACTATCATTTCTTCCCACTACTCTCATCCACCCAATTTGCTCACTCTACCAATTTTTCTATTTATTCTATTCACTCTTGCAACCAAGCTTTAAAAATTTAAGCTGACTTTGACTTGTTCTTCTCCTTTATTTACCATATATATCTAGCAATTCCCTTTTCTTCTCCTTTTCTTCTCAAATATCCCATGGCTACCATTTTAGCCACATTTTGTTACCAGATGTTTCTAATTTTTCTCCCTACTCCTGCTCTTGATCAAAAATACCTGATACATTTTTCTCAAGCACTATTTTTTTCAGGTTACTACACGAAGGTCATGATGATCTTAATCCTTGATACCATTTATCAAGTACTCACTGTATGCCAAGCACTGTGTTACTATACATATATTATCTCATTTACTCTTTATAACAAGCCTGTGAAGTAGGCATCATTTATCCCCATTTTATAGGTGAGGAAACTGAGGTTCCAAGAGATTAACAATGTGTCACATTTTTTAAGTAGCAGAGCTAGGGTGTGAACTCAGGTTAGCCTGGTTCCAAATTGTCACAAAACACCATTCTCAATATAACTACATCTTGTTCATTCATTGAAATATACCCAGCAGCAGTCCGGGCACGGTGGCTCACGCCTGTAACCCTAGCACTCTGGGTGGCCGAGGCGGGCGGATTGCTTGACGTCAGGAGTTCGAAACCAGCCTGAGCAAGAGCGAGACGCCGTCTCTCCTATAAATAGGAAGAAATTAATTGGCCAACTAATATATATAGAAAAAATTAGCCTGGCATGGTGGCGCATGCCTGTAGTCCCAGCTACTCGGGAGGCTGAGGCAGGAGGATTACTTGAGCCCAGGAGTTTGAGGTTGCTGGGAGCTAGGCTGATGCCACGGCACTCACTCTAGCCTGCGCAACAAAGTGAGACTCTGTCTCAAAAAAAAAAAAAAAAAAAAGAAAGAAAGAAAGAAAGAAATGTACCCTGCAGAAGCTCAGCCTGGCAAAAACAGATGCTCAATAAATAGTAGCTAATGCGAGCACCTTATTAAAGGAGCTGAGCCAAGTAAGGTGCTTGCTGAAAGCAACCGTCTCTTTTCTCCCACTACCTTCGAACAAGCTCGATCAATTTGTTCGAGCTCACAGTGCTCCACTCCCACCCTCCTGATGTCTCAGGTTGGTTTTACAGTTTTGTCATTGCTCTCAGGTAATAATGAATGGTCTTTTTTAAGTGGTTAGAATCCAGGTTGGCATAACAAACCAAACACTAACCTCATTCTGTTTAAACCTTCTTCCCTTTCTGAGTTGAGTTTTGCTCCAGGCTTGGAAGTATACATGGAGAAGGTAGGACACTGCTTTTCCTCTTCTCAGTTCTCCTCCTCCCTCTTCAGTTGCTGCTTTGGGCCTTTTCATAACACAGAGTTCTCACCACTAGACAATGATCACGGCGAGCTACTGGGATGCCACCAGTATTGGCCTTTTCAAAGCCACAAGAAACAAGGAGAAAAGGTAAGATGGCAAAAGCTGTTATTTAACTGTGTAGTTATGACTGACATTGGTGCCCTCAGGAGTGGCAAACAGCCAAAGGTGACTAATGGAACCCTGCTGGGACCTTCCTACTGCACTTCTAGCTTAATAACACTCTAGGCCAGGGGTCCTCAAACTTTTTAAACAGGGGGCCAGTTCACTGTCCCTCAGACCACTGGAGGGCCGTTAGGGAGTGTGGCACACATTCCACACATGCGCACTGTGGGCCCGGGATGAGTCAGCTGCTAAGCAGGACAGGCAGTGGCAGCAAAAACACCCTGCAGACCAGATAAATGTCCTCAGAGGGCCGCATGTGGCCCACGGGCCGTAGTTTGAGGACCCCTGCTCTAGGCCCTGGACTTCTAGTGGTTCTCCCCCCAACCTCCATCCCCACCTCCACCCCCAACCCCACCCCCAACCCCACCCCACACCCTGCCCCTCCTGGTAGAGTCTGTCCTGAGGGTCTCAGGCTGGTTCCCTGCTCGGGAATGTCAGGGAACCAATGTCAAGTCCAGTCCATAGCTTGCTCTCAACTCAGCCTTCCCTCACTTTATTCACATAACATGCTCATTTCATTCCAGCCCAACTGTCTTTGCTTATTTTCCTCTTCCACCATTCCTCCTCCTCTGCCAATCTATGTAATTCCCAGCTCATCTAAATGCATACCTTTTTCCATGAAGCAAGTGTTTCCTGACTCATTCCTTCCCACAATGATTTTCCCTATCTGAAATCCCAAGCAATCTAGCCTGTACCCAAAAAAAGTCAGTTTTACTTAAGAAGCTTTAGTACATATATTAAATATTGACCCTTGAGTACACATCATTTTAACATCCCATATAATTAAACACGAAGTATGCATAGGTGCTTCTGTGTTATACTGAAATTCACGATTGCCTCAAGAAAAAGCACTTATGTCATTGAGCTGTGAGCTGCTTTTTTCATGAAATGTCATTTTCACTTGAATGAATGACAGAAAAACTATAATTATACACAGTGGTATTTGGCAGATATTTTCTCAAATGTAGAAGAAACGAGTCTTGTCATTTCAAGGAAAACAATCGACAATGTTTATTGCCAATGATAAATGTGAGCTTTAAAGCAAAAAACATAGAATGTAGGAAAACTTGCATCCAGAAATATGAGCTTGACAATTTGTGGGGGGTTTGTAGACATGTCTATACGCTCTTTGCTATAGGTCCCCTCAGCAGGTGGAGGGGAGTGATTGTGGGAGGGAAGTGATTCCTTCCCAGTGATTGTGGACTTGACTGTCTCTTATGGCCAAAGTGATGAGTTGTCATACTGAGATTAGGTCATAAAATAACTGTGGCTCCAATCTTGAGTGGGCTCTCTCATTTGTTCTCTTTTGAATCACTCAGTATGGGACAATCTTCCAGGTTGTGAAGTGGCCCTCAAAGAGGGAAGCCAGCTCTTGAAGACACTCAAGCAGACTATGGAGAGGGCCACGTGGCAAGGAACTGAGGCTTGCCAGCAACCAAGTGAGTGAACTTTGAAGCGTATGGTCTGAACCCTGCCAAGAGGCACATGAGTGAGCTTGGAAGTGGACCATCTCAGTCGAGCAGTAAGATGACTGCAGCCCAGCCAACAGCTCTACTGCAACCTATTGAAAGACTTTGAGCCGGAACCACCAAACTAAACCACTTCTGGATTCCTGACCCAAAGAAATTGTGAGATAATAAGAGTCTGTTGCTTTAAGTTGCTGAATTTGGGGTAATTTGCTATGCAACAATAGATAATTAATATAACAGGTTTCTAAAACTTAAAGACTTTTCTGATAAGAGCAGTGGTGATATTAACAAAGATTCATTTTTAGTTTTGGGGTTTTTTAAGGGGAGGGTTGTTATATAATAAAACATGTCAATAGAAAATCTGCATAACTCAGAGAACCAATATTATTCAAACAATCAATACGTGATGTTACAAAATCATGCATTAGTAAAAGAGCCATTCAGAATGCAAGATAGATCTATAAATTTCAATGTAACAGAGTATAAAAAGTTCACTGATATGATATCTACATTGCAGCTAACCTTTAAGAAACTATCTATTGAATGCTGGTATAGGATCAAAGAATATCCATAATTATCTGGAAAAACTATTAAGATACTCCTTTCTTTTACAACTACATACCAGTGTGAGGCAGGATTCTCTTCATGTATTTCACTAAAGCAATGTACTGCAACAGAAGCAGATATGAGAAACCAGCTATCTTCTATGGAACTAGATGTTAAAGAGATTTGCAAAAATGAGAACAATACCACTCAGCTTACTACATTTTTTTATAGAAAATGTTATTATTTTTAAATGAATCGTATGTATTATATATTGCTATATAACAAATTGGCACAAGATTTAGCAGTTTAAGACAGTCAGTATTTATTATTTCAGTGTTTCTGTGGGTCAGGAATCCACAGCTTAGTTGGGTACTTCCGGCTCAGGGTCTCTCACAAAGCTATAACCAAGTGTCGGTGGGGCTGCAGTCACCTTAAAGCTTTTGTGGGAGGATCTACTTTTTTTTTTTTTTTTTTTTTTGAGACAGAGTCTCACTTTGTTGCCCAGGCTAGAGTGAGTGCCATGGCATCAGCCTAGCTCACAGCAACCTCAAACTCCTGGGCTTAAGCGATCCTCCTGCCTCAGCCTCCTGAGTAGCTGGGACTACAGGCATGTGCCACCATTCCCGGTTAACTTTTTCTATATATATTGGTTAGCCAATTAATTTCTTTCTATTTATAGTAGAGACGGGGTCTCGCTCTTGCTCAGGCTGGTTTCGAACTCCTGACCTAGAGCAATCCACCCACCTCAGCCTCCCAGAGTGCTAGGATTACAGGCGTGAGCCACCGCACTGGGCCGGGAGGATCTACTTTTATGCTCACTCATGTGGCTATTGACAGGACCCAGTTCCTCACCACTGTTGGCCAGAGATACTGTCCCTTGCCACATAGGTCTCTCTACAGGGCAACTCACAGCATGGCCTGCTGGCTTCCCTCAGAGAGAAAGGAGGGATTTAGAAAGATGAAGAGCAAGCAGGACAGATGCCACAGCCTTTGTGTAACCTAATCTCAGAAGTGACATCTCATCATTTCTGCTGTATTCTATTTTTTTAAAAAGGTCAGTAAGTCCAGCTCACACTCAAGGGACTGAATACAAAGACATGAATACCGAAAGATCATTGGGCCATCTTGGAAGCTGCCTATCGTATGGATTAATAAATATACATTTCTCAGGATTAATTCCTAATAAAGTAAGTATCGATAGGTATAACTCACATAAACAAAAGCTATTTGGGGTTCTCAATAATATATAAGAGTGTAAACAGGCAGTAAGACTAAAAAGTTTGAGAATTACTATTATAAAAATATTTGTCTTCTTCTTATTCGTAACTACAAACTCTTTGCCCCCCCAAAAAACAGCATTAATAATATTATTAGAAAATAGAGAAATACATATTAAAATACAATAGCCTTTGTAACATGTATGTATTCAGCAAGTGTGTTATCAAGGCTGCTAACTATTGTATGAATAGTGTAGTTATCACATATCTGAAAATAATTCACTTACAAATTTTAAAAACGCTTATTCTATATAGTAAATGCTTAGATTGTCAACATTCAATAATCGGTGATTTCATTGTATTATTATTTTGTTGGATTGGTTTGTTATGTAGATTTTTCTGGTGCCATCTCTGGGCCAATATCGGACTAGAGTTGTTGCTGACAATTGATGATTAAGAACTGTCCTGCCCTTCCTGGTAGAAAGGGGCTGGCAGACAGCTGTTCCCGTGTCTGCTTCTTTTTAATCACTTTCAGCTCAAAATAATTCTTATGTCAAAGTGGTATATTTTGAGGTGGCATATTCTGCTACCCTTCACGTGTGAGAATTATTTTTGTACAAAGTGACTTAGAAGTCTCTGAGATGATTGGTATTGGGTGAAAATAAATTTAGTCTCGTGGCAAATTTAGACACATTCACACATGGTGAATTATGTCTTGTCTGGGTTCCCTTCTCAAGAGGCGTCATTAACTTGCTGTCAGAGTTGGGTCAAAAGAAAGGATGGGATGCATCCTTTAGCATTTTTATTTTTAGCACTGTTGAGTAAGCATGACAGTTATATATATATATACATATATATATATATATAAAATTATGTAGAATTACATGAAATAACCAGTTTTCTTTTTCAATGTGTTTGAACATTATTGATTTGACCAAGGAGATTTGCTTACAGGAGTAGGTAACTAAGTAATACACTCTATGACTGTAGGTGAAAGGATTGAAATTCAAAATCTATATTTTTAGTCATGTTTTGTAGAGGTTATAGCATAAATAGATAAATCTAAGATTTCTAACTAAAGACCGTAACAATATATGAACTATGAACACTTAAATATATATAATATTTATTTATTTATTTATCTTAAAATGCTTCAATTATAGAGTGCCTGTTTCCAACATGGAGGATTCTATCAGGAGATACTTAGTGCTTAAAAACATTTATTGGACAATGATGACTACAGATTTGATGAGTGAGATGTAAAACAAATAAAGATGTTAACTTAAACTTAGAAAGTTTTCTAAGGCTAGAAAAATTTTGTGTTTCAATCAGAGACTATTTTATATGATATGTAGTTAATTTTATCAAGTGTTATAGAATGCAAATGTGAAACATTCACCTCAAAATCTAAGTAAGTTACTAATGAAAGAAATGTTTATTTCTAGATTTTTTTATAGTTTTAGCACATATGTGTATTCCTACCATATTGTTTAGTTTTAAATGTTTTAAAATTGTATCTAAATAGAATCTTGCTGTGCTTTTTTTGTGTGTATCTTGCTTTTCTCATTCAAAATTATTACATCCCTGAGATTTCTTTATGATGTTGCATATAGCTGTAATTCATTCATTCTTAATGCTGTACAGTAATTATTATGGAGTTATTATAATTTGTTTATTAATTCTACAGTTGATGGATATTTGGGTTGCTTATAATTTCTTGATATTTCAATTAGTGTAGCAGTGAACATTCTAGTACATATCTCCTGGTATTAGTGAGAATATTTCTAGGATTGGAATTGGTGATCACAGCTATATTATCTACAAATGTACTTGATGATACTAATTGTTTTTCACAGTAGGTATGCCAATTTACATTCTCACTACCAGTGTATAAGAGTTCCACATCATTACTAGCACTTGATATAATACCAAAACAATCAAGAACGCAAGGAAAGCTTGATAAAGATACAATTTGTGGAACATTTTAACATTTCTCTTTTAGTAATACATATAATAGGCAAACATTAGTGGGCTATAAAAGTATCGAATAATACAATCAATAAACTCAGTTTATTACATTTTTAAAATTCTTTGACTCCAGAATATATATTTCATTTATATTACTTAGAACATGTTGAGGAAAAATTGGTATGTAGTTGGTCACAAAAAAAACCTTAAAGTCAAAAAAGTAAAGATTTTTATAGACCATATTCTCCAATCTAAAAGCCAATTAAATGGAAACAAATAATAATAGAATATCAGATCTTAATTATAAGAAACTATAAAATATAATTACGATAACCCTTGAAACAAAAAGGAAACATTGCAAATAACTCTTCTTTCAAAAATCTCTGGGATAAAGTGAAAGGTACATTTGGAGAGCTTTCATTACTTTAATAAGGAAAAACTTATTTTTAGAAAAACTCCAGGAGGCCAATGCAGGAGGACTGCTTGAGGCCAGTTTTAAAAATAAGGGAACTTTCTACTTACCTTAAATTCATCGTGAGCATGGATTAAAGAAAAAGAAAAAGGAAATATATGGAATTAGAAATAACATAGATACAGAAGATTAAAAATTACATACAGCTCTATGGCAACATATTTGAAAATCTTATATAAGAGAATTTCCTGGTAAAATTTAAATTGCCAAAACTAGCCCCAAAAGGAGAATATTTTAATATATAAATTGCCATATATGAAATTTAAAAGTTGGCAATTCTATAGCTTTTAAAAAGACATCAGGATTAGTCCCACAGCTGAATTCTACCTAGCATTTTTTAAAAAAGTATATAAATTATACCTCTGTTTTTAAAAAAGGAAAAGAAAGAAAAAGGAATTTGAAATAATTCTAATGTTATTGTTCTAGACACCACTGAAAAATGCAAGCCTTTCTAATTCATATTAACAAAAATTTAGTACTAATCTGTTAAGTACAAAAATCAAAGCCATGGACCAATTTCACTTATTAATATAGTTGCATAAATTATAAATGAAATCTTAGCAGATGAAGTCTAGCAAGATATCAAAAGAATAATACACTCTAATCAAGCACAACTTCTTTTTCTAAGAATGCAGAGATGGTTTCAGTATCAGGAAAGCTAATATATTATTTGTTATATCAACAAACTGAGGGAGAAAAATGATCATATCCATAGATTATGAAAGGAAAGTTGATAAAATTCAACAATCATTCCCTGTAAAAATAAACAAAACCAGAATGGGTACAGAAGGAAACTAAATATGATAAAGATTGCATAGAATAACATTTACCCTCGATTTTTGGTAAGCAGTAAGGTATGCAAGCCATTTTAATTGAAAACAGAAACAAGATAGATGATCTGGCTGTAATCATCATTATTCAGCATTGTTTTGATTGGAAGGTGTTATCTTCAAGCTCTGAGATTCTTTCTTCTGCTTGATCTACCCTGTTCTTGAGACTTTCCACAGTATTTTGTAGTTCTCTGAGTTGATTCTTCATCTCCAGGACTTCGGTTAAAGTTTTCTTCACTGTGTCAATCTCTTTGTTGAACCTTTGTTCCATTTCTTGGAGGTTTTTTGTGTTTTCTTGGTGTTGGTTATTGAGTTGTTGTTGCAGCTGGGTGAGTGTTCTTATGATCCACATACGAAAATTCCTTTTCTGTCATATTGGTTGCCTGATTTTGGTCGGTGTCCGATTCTAGGGGCTGGTGCTCCTCCTTGGGGGTGTGTTTTCCGTTTGGTTCTTCATATTTCCTGAGTTCTTTCGCTGACTTCTTCCCATGTCGATCAGTTGTTGTTTCTTTCCTTAGGTTATTGTTTGGGTATTCACACACCTTGTTTAGTTTCTGAGGCGTTAGGTGGTGCCCTTGCCGCTGGTCTCCGGGCTGCTCCGGTGGTCTCAGCCTCCAGTTCTCCTCCGCAGCCTCCTCCCGTGGAGTCTCCCGGGGTCTCAGGTACCCCTCCTTCCGGCCCTTGTCCGCTGTATGCTCGTCTTCTTGCTTCTTTCCTCTAGTTTCTGCTAGAATTGGTCTTTTCTGTAGAGACCCTCTGTCTGGCGGTGTTATTCGTCCGCCATCTTGCTCCGCCCCCTTCAGCATTGTTTTGAAAGTCCTAATGAGCTTAGTTAAATAAGATGATAAGATTGAGAACTCAAGCAAATCAGCAAGACAAAAACCACCCCATTAAAAAGTGGGCAATGGCCGGTGCTGTGGCTCACACCTATAATCCTAGCACTCTGGGAGGCTGAGGCGGGCGAATTGCTCGAGGTCAGGAGTTCAAAACCAGCCTCAGCAAGAGTGAGACCCTGTCTCTACTATAAAATAGAAAGAAATTAATTGGCCAACTAATATAGAAAAAATTAGCCGGGCATGGTGGCTCATGCCTGTAGTCCCAGCTACTCGGGAGGCTGAGGCAGCAGGATTGCTTGAGTCCAGGAGTTTGAGGTTGCTGTGAGCTAGGCTGACGCCATGGCACTCACTCTAGCCTGGGCAACAAACTAAGACTCTGTCTCAAAAAAAAAACAGTGGGCAAAAGACATGAACAGAAGCTTTTCAAAAAGAAAGACAAATGACCAATAAACATATGAAAAATTGGTTAATGTCACTAATCATCAGGGAAATGCAAATCAAAACCACAATGAGATATCACCTTCCCCAGTCAGAATGGCTTTTATTAAAAAGTCCAAAAACCATAGATGCTGGTGTGGATGCAGAGAGAAAGGAATGCTTATACACTGTTGGTGGGAGTATGAATTAGTACAATCTCTATGGAAAACAGTATGGAGATTCCCCAAAGAACTTAAAGTAGACCTACCATTTGATCCAGCAATCCCACTACTGGGTATTTACCCAAAGGAAAAGAAGTCATTTTATCAAAAAGACACCTGCACTCAAATGTTTATTGCACTACAATTTACAATTGTGAAGATGTGGAATCTACCCAAGTACCGTCAATTCACAAGTAGATTAACAAAATGTGGTATATGTGTACTATAGAATACTACATAACCATGAAGAAGGATGAATTAAGGCCTTTGCAACAAGTTGGATGGAACTGGAGATCATTATTCTAAGTGAAGTATCTGAAGAATAGAAAAACAAATACCTATAGTCTCCTGTACGTAGGCTTTTATCAGCCTGCCCCATCAGTTCTTCAACATTGGGACCTGTCTGAATCTTTAATAGTAAATGGTGAGACCTCTCCTACATAATAAATTGATTTATATAAAACTTTTCACTAGTCTCTAAGCAAAATGATACACTGCCACATTTTCAATTATACTTCATGATATAAATTTGGTATTTAATAATTAGACACAGGTAAGTAATAATATGGAAAAAAATTCCCTAGTAATTTTTTTTAAATTTGAGTTTGTTTTTGTTTGCTGTTACACACAGCTTTTTAGATATAAGGACTCTAATGAATATTGATTTTTATGACTAGGTTCCTTTCTAAGTCTCATTTGTGAGACTTTTTTGAAAATTTATTTTGTGGACATAGCTAGATTCAGAGTCCACATTTTATAAACATAATGAACAGAAGCTTTTCCACAGTCTTGAGGTAAGAATCATTTGATAAGTGTTGGGTATTTAAATCATTCCAGTATATACTACTCAGAATAGTCCTGCATTAATCATCTTTATACAAATTATTATCGAGAATTTTTTTTCCATTGGGATATATTCCCATGGTGACAATTGTTATTGGTAATACCAATGTATTCATATTGTTTGATATTTTCAGATTGTTTTCAAAACATTCCTACTTCATAGAGTTGTTGTGTGAATTAAAAGAGATAAATGGTGTCATCTAGCCCTTAGCACTGTTACTAGTTGGCCTTTAACAGATGTCAGTTCCTTTCCTCCAGATAATGATTTTTAAAATTACTTTGACATTATTAAACATTTGCCATTAACTTAGATGTGCATAGTTTCACAGCATGCTGTGAGCTGGATGACATAGGACTGGGCCCAATAGAACTGCCCCATGTATGGGGTTGATATCCGAAGGGGGTAGCTTCCAGGCCAAATCCTTGATCTGGGGCCAACAACTCTGAAATAAGTCCCAGGTGGCAGGTCAGTTTCGAGGTTGGTTGGTAATACATGAAGTTAGGAGTACAGCTCCATATTAGTTGAGTTTGAAGTAGGTTTGAGGGAAGGGTCTAGTCAGGAAGGTTATCAGGGATCTAGCCAGTTTGGCGCAAATAAAGCAGGCTGAAACTCATGTGAACCTGGCAAACTCAGTATTGACTTTTATCCAACTTTTGTAAACTTTCCAAAAGCAAAATGGCAATGTATATTAAACAAAACCTGCTATTTATTGAGCATTACGGTCCATTAAGTATTGTCACCTTTTAAAAGGTAAAAGGTTCTAATTTGCCCAAGGCTACACAGCCTGGCAGGTGATAGACTTGGAATTCAAACCCAGATCTGACTGAACCCAAAATCTCTTTATTTCTATCACTGAGTTTATACTGCCTTCACTTGAATTATGTAAGATGTTCATTTTTCCTCAAAGTCGCAAAAGTTCTATTTTTCTGTATAAAAGCCTTTGAAATACAGATAAATCTATAGAATTGTTATAAAATTATTTGGAAGTATTTTAATAGCTTCCTAATTTTAGTATGGGACACTCTGTTATGAACTATAAAGAATACTCCAGTGAGAATGGTCTTTATCAAAAAGTCCCCTAACAATAAATGCTGGCGTGGATGTAGAGAGATGGGAACACTCCTACACTGCTGGTGGGACTGCAAACTAGTTCAACCTCTGTGGAAAGCAATATGGAGATACCTCAAAGTGATACAAGCAGATCTACCATTTGATCCAGCAATTCCACTACTGGGCATCTACCCAAAAGATCAAAAGTCACTTTATGAAAAAGACACCTGCACTCGAATATTTATAGCAGCACAATTCACAATTGCAAAGCTGTGGAAACAACCCAAGTGCCCATCAATTCATGAGTGGATTAATAAAATGTGGTATATGTATACCATGGAGTACTACTCAGCTTTAAGAAACAATGGTGATCTAGCACCTCTTGTATTTTCCTGGATAGAGCTGGAACTCATTCTATTATCTCAAGAATGGAAAAACAAGCACCACATGTACTCACCAGCAAATTGGTATTAATGGATCAACACCTAAGTGGACATATAGGAATAACATTTATTGGGTGTCAGGCAGGTGGGAGTGGGGAGGAGGGGATGGATATATACAAACAAAACCAGTAAGAGGTGCAACGTTTGGGGGATGGACACACTTGAAGCTCTGACTTGAGGGGGGGGCATGGGCAATATATGTAACCTTAACACTTGTACCCCATAATATGCTAAAATAATAATAATAATAAAAAATAACATAATAGAGAATTAATAAGTAATATCGCTTACATTGTTATTTACTTATCTAACTTTATTATCTGAAATAACATAAGCTGCATAAGGATACAGGCATAAAATATGATTAAATACAACCCAAAATATCATAACATAAGATCACAAATGTAAAATAATTGTGGCAGATGGGATTTTCTTATTCCATCACCCCCTGTCATTTTTCACCACTCCACTTCCTGGGGAGAAGGTCATTAAGAAAAGCCAAAAAGGACTTTGTTAGCACAAAAACACAAAGTCAGTTATTCTTTAAGTATAGTAAATATTAGCCTGGAAACTGTGCTTCTTGCAGATTTCTTAATTCGATAGGATGCTTGGGATGG